AATCATGAATTGTTAGTTACTAACCAAACCAATCATATACTAACACATACTCTAAAGAAGGGTATAAAAAGCTGTGTTAGAACAATAAAGTAGCCATTTTGCATGATCTATTACTTGTCGTGTCCGTCTCTACTGCGACAAATGGTGACCCTGATGCGTCTGAGCGAACAGATCATTTAAAGGTGATCAATCCAGCACTAGCAAGAAGTCTACCGGCGGCAACGAGAGCTGCGAAAGAGTATACCGGCAGCGAGACAAGCTGCGGAGGCGGAGCCCGGTGAAGCTGAGAGCAATGGAATCTGCCTGGTCCGGACCTGAGCCTAGACACCTAATAAGGTGAGCCACCGGGGACTAAACTGTTAGAATGGGGCAGCAATTAACTAAGGAAGACGAGACAATTTTGTCTACCTGGAAAGCCCTATTAAAAAGAAAAGGGGTTAAAACCCCAGAACAAAGCCTGAAAAGGATTTTAATATGGTGTAAGATGCAAGGCTTTGAAGCCACAACACTTACTGCATTTAGTGTGGGTGCATGGCAATCTGTGGCCTTGAAAATGTTTGATGAGATCTCTAAAGGATAGAAAGAGCTGTGTAAGTTGGCGATTGTATGGCGTCTATTACGCGAGACCCTGAAGGAATGGAAAGCAGAATGTGATGCGAATGATGAGCAAAAGAAAGATGAGAAACCAGAAAATGTTAGCAAGGAAAAAGATTCTGATCAAATGACAACTGTGGCTGATGCTGCAGTATCAGCAGTTGCAGGGAGAAAACCCCTCACAGGCAAAATCAGATCATACCCTTATCCACCTCCTCCTCCTCCGCCATTAATTACTTTACCGGGCGATGAGGGGCCCTCCTCACCTACTGGTGCGGCAGCAGAAGGGGTGACTCCATCAGCCCCCCCCCGCCCCCCCAAGGAGAAAAATGTGGCAATTAACACCGAGCCGGAAAGTGTGGGCCGTACTGAAATTGAGGGCCGAAAGGACAGTGAGAGTCAACCTGAATGTGAGGGCCGAACGGAAAGTGAGAGCCAAAATGAAACTGAGGCAGAAAAATCTCTAATTGACGCTCTGCGATCTCTGCAGCTCGCAGATAAAACCATACCGAAAGAACCCCTGCCATGCACTCTCCCTCCATCCACAGTAACTGTAGTCCCAAGATCCCCTGATCGATTTTGGGAGGGAGTTAGGAGATATGCTGCCGAAGCTGGCAACTGGGATCTAGTTGAACGCCTCAGCCCGTGCTTTCCAACACCAGCATGTCCAAAGCCTGTCGACATAGCAGCAGAGGCTCCTGCTAAGTTTCCTGTTTTCAAAGCTGCTGCAGGCACAAACCAGCACGATGAGCACAATCCAATTGGCTGGAAAGTAGTGCAGGATTTGCAGAATAAAGTACAAAAATTTGGAATCAATTCTCCTGAGGTGATGCAACTTATTCGAATAATCAGCACAGATCTGCTGTGTCCATATGACATTATGCATCTCGCACAAGTGCTGTTTCAGCCCGTACAATTGCAAGTGTTTCAATCTACTTGGAGGCAGATGGCACGCACAGCGGCACAGCATAATTTACAACTGCCACAGGGTGACCCGAGATTAGGCCTTGGAGAGGATGCTTTGCTTGGTGAAGGGCCGTTTAGTAACCCTCAGCTGCAGGCTACATGGCCTCCGATTGTTCTCGAACAGGCACAAAATATAGGGCTTATGGCATTAAAGCGAACCATGGAAATGGCAGCTCCGAAGCAAAAATACATCGCTATCCACCAAGGCCCCAGAGAACCCTTTTTACAGTTTGTAGAAAAAATATCTGCCGCACTGGAAAAACAGGTAGAAGATGAGGCGTTAAGACAAATGCTGTGCAAACAGTTAGCAAAAGATAATGCTAATGAGGACTGTCAAAAGATAATACAGGCTTTACCAGGAGATCCTTCTATTCCCGACATGGTGGCTGCATGTTCTAAGGTGGGGACGGTGGAACACGAGGCGGCCGTCTAGTCGGCAGCGCAAGTGGCCGCCCTAGCTAATGCTATGAAAAATTCTGGAAAGTGCTTTGGGTGTGGCAGTGGAGGGCACATCAAGGTAACTTGTCCACACAAAACATCACCAGGTAAACAATCGGTGAACAACCCACCGGAGATTAATTGCAACAAATGCGGAAAATCAGGACATTTTGCAAAACAGTGTCGTTCCAAATTTCATGTTAATGGGCAGCCGCTACAGGGAAACAACAAAACGAGCGCGAGAGGGCGCGCGAGGACAACAAGTCCCCTCCCGACAGCCGGCCAACTCCCCTCTGCGAACAATTGTCAGCCGCAACAGCTGGCTCAGCAGGGCTGGATGTATCCACCGCCGACACAGTCACTATAGTCACAAAAGACATCGTTAAGGTCCCTCTTAATGCAAGGGGTCCTATAGGATGAGGACTGAGTGCATTGCTACTGGGAAGATCAAGTAGCACGTTAAATGGACTAATTGTGCATGTAGGAGTTATTGATGCTGATTTTACAGGTCAAATTTGTGCGATGGTTTCAACCCCCTACCCACCAGTAACAATCCCAAAAGGTACTTGCATTGCTCAACTTATTCTTTTTTCGAGTTGTATTTCGAAAGCAGAACAGCGACTGCGATGCGATGGAGGCTTCGGCTCTACGGGACCCCCTCAGTTCTGCTCGTCTCAGACTGTCTCATCATCCCGACCACATATGACGTGCACGCTGTTGAATCACGGAAGATCTCCGACTACAGTAAGGCTTGCAGGGCTCCTGGACACCGGAGCCGATGTGACTATTATTGCCGATTATCTGTGGCCATCCACCTGGCCAACAGAGGAGGCGGGTATGGGAGTAGGGGGGCTGGGAGGATCCACACGAGCAAAGATGGCAGCCACAGCAGTTCTGATTACCAATCCTGAGGGCCAACAAGCAGTCATTAAACCATATGTGACGGCAGCTCCCCTCAATTTATGGGGGAGGGATTGCTTGTTGCAATGGGGGGTGAGAATTACCACGGATTTTTAACGAGGGCCACTGTGCTGCAGGGTGTTAGACAACCCACGCTTGTTTTAACCTGGTTAACAAATAACCCTGTGTGGGTGGATCAGTGGCCCCTACCAATTGAAAAATTAAAGGCCCTGCAAGAATTGGTAGCAGAACAACTAGCTGCCGGACACATTGAACCCTCTCAGAGCCCATGGAATACTCCAGTGTTTGTGATAAAAAAGAAATCAGGAAAATGGCGATTTTTGCATGACCTGCAGCAAGTCAATGCTGTCATGGCCACGATGGGGGCTCTGCAACCAGGCATGCCTTCACCTGCCATGATCCCTCAAGATTGGGAAATCATTGTCATGGACCTTAAGGATTGTTTTTTTACAATTCCATTAGCTTCCCAAGACAAAGAAAAATTTGCATTTTCTGTGCCTTCTATCAATCATGCAGAACCAGCAAAAAGATATCAGTGGAGAGTTCTGCCACAGGGCATGAAAAATTCACCAACAATTTGTCAATGGTTTGTAGCACAAGCTCTGTCACCTGTAAGGGAAAAATTCCCTACTAGTTATTGTTATCATTATATGGATGACATTCTGTTAGCATCAGACAACAAGGAGCAGTTGAATGACATGGAGAATTTGGCCAGGAATTTGTTACAACAATATGGATTAGTTATTGCCCCTGAAAAAGTGCAAAAAATAGCACCCTGGAAATATTTGGGAATGACAATTACAAGCAAGCAGGTTGTGCCCCAACCTGTGAAACTTAACCTTGCGGTTAAGACACTCAATGATGTACAGAAATTAATGGGATCCTTGAACTGGATCAGGCCCTATCTTGGACTGACCAATTCGCAGTTACAACCTTTATTGGACTTATTAAAACATTCCAATGATCCAACAGAACCCAGAATATTAAATAAGGAAGCGTTAAATGTAATTCACATGGTGGAACAATGTATATACAAGAAATTTGTTTCTCGAATAGATCTGTCTCAATTGGTACAATTCTTTGTACTAATTGACAAAACTGTGCCATTTGGTGCTTTGGTGCAGTGGAATTCTGAGTGGGATGACCCATTACATATTTTAGAATGGATGTTTTTGTCATTCCGGCCACGAAAAACTGCTTCTGGCTTGTTTGAACTTATTGCTGATGTAATCATAAAAACCAGAAAACGATGTGTAGAACTAATAGGACGTGATCCAGCTACGATTGTTTTACCTGTTCAAAACTGGTATTTTGAATGGTGTCTGGCAAACAATTACGAGCTGCAAGTGGCCATGGCGGGTTTTCAACGGCAGATCTCGTATCATCTACCGTCACACCTGCTACTGAAATTTGCTCAAGAAATACCATTTGGTCAGAAATATTTAAGCCAGCCAGAACCTGTGAAAGGCCCCACTGTCTTTACAGATGGTTCTGGAAAAACAGGTAAAGCAGCAGTAGTATGGTATGAAAACAACAACTGGAACAGCAAAGTAGTATATCAAAATGGTTCTCCACAAGTAGTAGAGCTGCGTGCAATGGCTGTTGTTTTTTCTATTTTTTCTACTCCTGTAAATATTGTAACTGACTCAGCGTATGTAGCTAATTTAGTTTCTCGACTAGACAAAGTGGCTTTGACCATGTCAGACAATCAATTATTATTTGATGTGCTTTTAGAACTCTGGAAAAGTATTCAACTACGAACAGAACCTTATTTTATCATGCATATCCGGAGTCATACCACTTTACCAGGGTTTTATACAGAAGGTAATGCCAGAGCGGATGCTCTTGTTTCTGCTATGGCTCTGACTACTGTTCCTAACATCAAGCAACAAGCTATATTATCACATCAATTTTTTCATCAAGGTTTTCGAGCTTTACGAAGGCAGTTTGGTTTGTCCCATACTGAAGCTCGCTCTATTGTAGCTGCCTGCCCTGATTGCCAAGGAACTCACACTCCAGTGTATTTTGGTACTAATCCCAGAGGTATGCAGGCTTTACAGATTTGGCAAACCGATGTTACTCATATAAATTAATTTGGCCGACAGAAATATGTTCATGTTTCTATTGATACTTATTCTCATGCTTTGGTAGCAACAGCACATAATGGAGAAACCGGAAAAGATGTGATTCGACATTTGCAGAAGGCTTTCTCTGTGCTTGGGGTGCCACGCCAAATTAAAACAGACAATGGCCCAGCATATGCTTCACAGAAAGTTCAAACATTTTTTAATCTGTGGGGTGTGACTCATGTTACAGGAATTCCCCATTCCCCAACAGGACAAGCAATTGTTGAGCGTGCACATGGCATGTTGAAGCAGCAGCTTCAAAAACAAAAAGGGGGAATGATTGGGGAACCACCACAGGCATGTTTAGATAAAGCAGTTTATGTTCTTAACTTTCTCCATTATGGGGATAATTCTTCTCTACCTCCTCTTTTTCAACACTTTTCTTCTCTTTTTTTTCAACACAGAATTTACAAAAAGGTATCAAAGTACATGTTAAAGATTTAGTTACTGGTCAGTGGAGTGGACCATGTGAGCTATTAACCTGGGGAAGGGGTTATGCTTGTGTTTCCACAGATGCCGGTCCTCGCTGGGTTCCTGCTCGGTGTGTTTGGCCTGGATTGGAACCTGCCTCAGGGTGAAGGATGGGTGGTCTCACAACCTAAACAAAATGTTTGGGTCACTTTAGCAAACATGACACATCACGACACCCTGTCTCGCCACCGCAAGCCCTGAAAATCCATTTTCGACATGCTTGGTAGGAATACCCGTGGACACTTGGCCGAACCCACTGCAGATCCCAAATCTCTGTAATTCTCCAAAAAGTTGTACAAACAACTGGGATCATGTGTATGCGCATCTTTCACCAGTCACCCAGGAACCCCAAGAGTTAGAATTGTTAGGATCTATAATGATGGATGCTTGTGTGTTTTTTAATTACTCTTATGGCAATACTGCTCGCTGAGGCCAAAATGTTAATGCAACTAGTATTCTCTATCGCAATGCAACTGCATGGTGTAATTATACCGCACCTAATGCTTCACGATCCTCTGTTGTTCCTCTTGCGCTACCTCCTGGTGTGTTTTTAATCTGTGGAGATCGTGCCTGGGGAGGCATTCCATCTAAACTGAATGGAGGCCCGTGTAGCCTCGGACGCCTCACGTTATTAACACCAAATATGTTAACGATTCTGAACGTGACTCGAAAACATAGACGAGTCCAGAGGTCTATTCATCAGTTTAGCAGTTCCTGTCAAGATGACGTTGAATTCTGGAATCGAGGCCAGATTTTAGCAGCCTCCATATTGGCACCAGGAGTTGGCATTGCAAATGCCTTAAGAACTTTAAATAAGTTAGGATGTTGGCTTAGTAAGCAATCTAAGGCTACCTCTTTAGCTTTAAGTGGCCTTCTAACTGATGTTGGTAGTGTTAGACATGCTACGCTACAAAATAGAGCTGCAATTGATTTCTTGCTTTTAGCACAAGGACATGGTTGTGATGAGTTTGAAGGGATGTGTTGTATGAATTTATCCGATCACTCAGAATCCATTTTCAGTAGTATTCAACAATTAAAGAAGGGAGTCAAGAAGCTGACAGAAAGTGATGAATTAGATTGGCTGAGGAACAGGTTTGGGGGTTGGGGATTGTCTGGATGGTTGATATCTCTGCTCAAGACTGTGGGGGTAGTGATCTTGGTTGTGATAACTATGTTGCTGATGTTGCCCTGTCTTTTCAGCCTTCTGCAAAGGGCCCTGCAGAGGGCAGCCGGGACAATATTTTTAGCACAAATACAAAAAGGGGGAATTGTCGGGGGATGCAACGGGTCTGCGGAATGCCTGACAGTTCGAGAACAGCGCGACCTTGAGCAGCTTGTAGTGTATCCTTGAAAGTCTGGAAAGTCCCGAG